CAATAATATTATAACATCTATGTATCTTTATCTGAAGCACTTGTTACATAATGTGTTATATTAATATTATGTTACTGTTCATTTATTATAACGAATAAGTAACAAAATAATGTAAACGTTTACATTATACAGCCATGTTATAGATATGGAAACAAGACAAATTACATTTGCATCAATAAGATAAAACATCTGTTATCATTACATGTTACCCCCATGTGATGTTGCAGTTAAATTCTGCGTTTGCTGGGATACGTGTTATATAACCTTATCTCAGAGGTCTCAGCGTAGTATAACGCATCGTTCTCCAGTTTATACCACAGTTTCCCCTGTTTCGAGTAAATGTGTGACAGTAAGAAATAGCATTGTATTTAAATAGTTCTTTCATTCGTTATTATTATTATTACTTTTTGTCGTATTTATGACATGGAAAAACAGAAAATTATTTATCCATTTGATCAGAGTGAATCTAATTTACTTTTTTGTTATTGATCCGAGAGTTGTTACTGTACTAAAACTTTATTTCGTATTTTCTTTTAAGATGTCAGCAATGAACAAAAAGAACATAATTAATATTGTTAATTTTTATACATCATCCACACATGGAGGTAAATCTATGGACTGTGTTCCATCGACTTGGATATCTTTTGATCCAGAAACTCAAGGCTTGGTTGCCAAATTCATGCCTCCTCCATACACTAAGAAAAATTGTTACGCATTACACGAACAAATTAAAAATAACGAAATTCCATTAGAAAAGTGGCCACAGTATCCTATAAAAATACTTGGAAGTGCTGGTAGAGTTATTTCTATAAAAGAAATTAACGAAAGTTATGATATAGATTGTAATAATGTATTATTATATATATTTTAGAAACTTATAAAGAGGCTTTATTGAAAATGGAGAAACTATTGGAAGAAGATTTTAATTACACTACAGATTATTGCATAACAGATGTAGAAGATAATGAAAGTAATGATCATAATTTAAAGAAAAAAGGATCAAAAGAAGATGAAAGTCTTATATTACCATTATATGGACTGAACGGTAAATTATCAAACTTACACAGTGGATTCATCTGATGATAATGGTACGAATGATAACTATCATGTCTCTATTTGTTTAATTATTTTTTATTATATTATAAATTGTATAAAATATTTTTATTTTATTTTTATCATAGACTCAAATACTGAAAATGATATGTATGAGCCATTTAATAAAAAATCAATGATCCCAAAAAAAAAGTCACAAAAAAGTAGTAGTACTAGTAGTAGTACTAGTAGTAGTACTAGTACAAAAAACAGTAGTAACATTTCTACAAGTAAGGTTGAATTAAATGAATCACTTGCTATTGTTTTGTCAGTTGTTAAACGAGTAAATTATAAATCTTGTAAGTATACAATAATTTTTTCAGCAACAAACATGCCAAGTTCTTCAATTTCCAAAAAACCTATAATTGTTGAAGAAATACTACTGGAAGATACAATACCAATTAATTCGATCTCTTTTAATGTCGTCACGAATTGTAATAATAAGTTATTGATAATATTTTAATTTTCAACATTTTATCAAAACTGTAGTTTGAAGTTTATATATTATAATTATAATTTTTATGATTTTTTTTAGATTTAAAACGTATTTTAACTGACTTGCAAGACGTTAAGCATAACCAACAACTTATGAGAAACGATTTACAGACATTAAAAAGAGATTTTGAGCAAAATATAATTGTAAGAAGTGGTGAAAATGTTCCAGTTCATTGGACGCAGGAAAATCAAATTAAATGGCCTCTTCAAACGAAAGATGAATATGATAAACTTAATTTATTATTAGCAGATGAGAAAATTCGCAAAGACTTTGTAAGATATCTTATTAAAAATTATCTAATTTTTTGTAATTTTACTATTTTTTTTCTTTTCAAATGTTTAGATGGCCACAATTGGATTTGTAATTGATGGAGGAACTGTAGTATCAAAAAATTTACTTGCGGTTTTCAGAAAATTCTTTCATAAAGACCTGGCGACCAAATTTACTTGCGTTAAACCAATCAAAGATAAATTTACTCTTAAACCTTCAGCACTTTACGATTGCATCATTGGTAATTGATTTTTATTATTTAATTTTTACCATATATATATACTTTGATAATTAACAGTAATATAAAAAATAATTTTAGAAACATTTATGATAAAACGTAGGAAAGGTGCAATCCCAGAAACAATTACAGAGAAATTGTTAGAAAAATTGATTGGTGTAATATTAACTAACTCTAAAGATTGGGAGAAGGGAAGATTGCATAAAAAACAAACAGAGAATAAGGAAAATATGAATGATAATAACGATTCATCATAGCAGATATAGAAAGAGAAAAAGACATTAACAAAATTAGTTTAGTTTTGACAAAATATTTTATAATATATTATTATATTTTATATATTTATACATTATATATTCTAATTCTTTAATTTTGTTACATTATTTATATATTTTATTCAAATATTGTAACATTAGAAAATATCTGGACGTAAATATTACTGTCGGTAATCACAAACACTTAAAATTATTCATTTTTATTTATAATTATGAAGTAACGGTATTGCATAAATTTTATCATAATTAATGTTATTTTTTTTGTATGGCACATGTAATTTCACCATTTTTGAATAAATTTCTTTTAATTTGAATTCGATTATGTGTGTAGACGGCTTTTTTCTTAATTGCCACATATGTAAATCGGCAGAACTTGTTGGATACTCGAAGATTGATGTTTGTTGCATCCATTGTACACCAGTTATTTTTATGTCGTTTATATTTTCGTAAGAATAACCGAGGTTTGTAATTTTAATAATTTGACCACTATTCAGCATTACTAAATTATTCGGCTCTTCTGTAGTAATACAAAAATTTTTATATTGCAATTTTAATATTAATAGATATTTATCGTCAGACTTTTTTTGTTTTAAAATACGAAATGTAACTGGAATTTTTGATTTGTTTGTGATAATACTTTTTTCATACAATCGTCGACATATTTGAGCTAATGGTTTATTGGCAGTACGTAAAAATTTTCTCATAATTCCTAAATAATTTTCAAAAAGAAATGCTGAAATTTCGTCGAGAGTACAATTATTTATTTTGACATCATCAGCTATATGTAAAAGATAATGTGCATTTAGAATCTGAGATCCTTTACCATAAAATTTTGGTAACTGTAGAAAAAATGTTTTTAAGTAAGATTGAGCATTTTCATTTTATTTTTGTGCAAAACTTTTTGTGCATAAAATTCGAAAAGCCACATGAAAAAGTAAAAAATGATAATACATTTCAGGACTTAAAATTTCTTTGAAGACAATAGGGCCAGCATACAAGGATAAAAATCGAAGTTCTGATGCTTTTAAGTTTGGAACAGGAGCCCGAGGTTTTCGTTGGAATTCTTCAGACACATATGTTTTCAAATACGTTATACGTTCAAACAATTTTTGTTGAAGATTGCACTTCAATTTTACAGCACTTTTCTTAAATAGTAATTCCATTATGTAAAACTTTTTAGTGATTCCCAGACAGCATAGATGCATGTAATCTAAAGAAAAAGTGTAAATCATATCGATTGGTGGTTGTATCCGTAGTAATGGTGAATAGCCAGTGTGATGTTCTTTTTGTTGCTGCTTTCTAAATAATTCGTCTGATCGTTTACAACAATCGACATCAGGATATGTTACATGCTTATTTGGGAATCCTGCACTTTTCCCATAAACATCGCAACGCTCACAGGCTGCATAGCCTCCATGTCCTTTTATTTGTTTCACGAATTTTCTAGCAGGAATATCACAAATGAAATGTTTCAAGATTACAACGTATTTTTTGTTATCTATGTAAATACCATTTTTATGTAAAGAATTAATTTCTTGAATGAAATCATCCATAAATTCATTTACATCTTCTGGCTTTGTATCTCCGTAGTAAATTGCCACAGGAAATGGAGAATATATGTTTGAATTCTGGAGAATTTTGCATAGTATAGGCCACAATTGTTTAGTACTTGATTTGTAGGGAGAAGCTCCATCAACATTCATTTAAAGAAATATGACATTATCTTTATGTGCATTAGGATCTACACAATTCATAAGACCTTTCTCAATCCCCAAGTAAACAAATTCATCAATGTAATTATTTGCTCCTCTCATGGCTTTTACAGTATATTCAGCTTTTGTAGAATCTAAAAATGTTTTGCTACATTTTGGAAGTTGAGGTAAAAGTCTTTTTCGTAATATGTTCAAAAGAACGTCCAAATGTATCAATGGAATATTATATGTAACTGCCCAATTTCTTATTTCTTCAACTTCGGGATCATCTGCCATATTACTGTTGCTGTTATCATCTTCACTGCTTTCAGAAAAATTCTGGTACTGATTTTCATCTTCACTATAATTGTCTGGATTTTCATCTTCATCGATTGACTGGAGTAAAGTAGCATCAACGTGAACAGAATCATTTAAAGTACTTCAATCTGTATAGATTTTCGACGTGCTAGCAATATTTAAAAGTTGATCTACATTTCCAACTAAATAACAAATAAAATATAAGAATTAAAGGACAATCAGTCATTAAATATGCATATAGCGATACGATAAATAGGGTTTTACATTGTACCTGAGGACTGATCAGATTGCAAAATATTTCTCAATGCAGACTTAATAAGACGATGTTTTTGGACTCGTTTGCGCGTTTTTTCTCTTTTATTCATAACTTGTACTTAATATTTTATTAACTTTAATTAAAAATAAATACGGCTCCTAGGAAAACAAATTCAAATGTAAAATTAAGAGGGCTGAAGAGCTAAGCTAGATACCATATAAATACTAAATACGTGTATTACACACAATATAACCATTAATTATATATTGTATGTAATACACGTATTTAGCACTTATATCTACCTTGGCTCTTCAATAAAAAAATTTTATTCAACAGTTATGTTAAACTACTATAAAAGTTAGCTATTCTATTAATTGACCAATATAAATCGTAATAATTCTCAAAATAACATTTTCAATATATAACAGAATGAGTCTCAAAGAAACTATTCAAGAATAACATAACCTCATTGTTCGAATGATTTTTAACTAGTAGTGGCTAGACAACGGCTTGCTAATTTTTTAAAGTTTCCAGCGTTATCTAATTCCAATATTTACAGTACAAAGGCTAGACAGTCATTACAGAAATTATTCAAGAATAACATAACCTCACTTTTTAAATGCTAACAAATTTTTAGCTAGTAGTGGCTAGACAATGGCTAACTAATTTTTTAAAAGTTTCCAGCGCCATCTATTCCAATATTTATAATACAGGGGCTAGAAAAGTACTAGATAGCGAAGTATTATTCATAAATTACAGTTAATACTGAGCTAGTAAATGGCTAGGTAACATATCTAGCCTGTGTGATACAGCCATTAGGTGTAGAATGAGACGGCTAGATCAATTTCCACTCGGGTTATAACCTATATAGAAAAATGCTTCTCACATATTATTCCACGTTATACCGTATTGGAATTAATTTTACACTAAACCTAGTTTCTTAGGCTATACAGAAAACGCAAAATTTTTTGCGCATATTTGCGAATTCAATTAACATAAATGATTAATGCACAGAACTGTGTATTAATTATTTATATTCATTATTTATATTAATTGAATTCGCAAATATGCACAAAAAGTTTTACGTATTCTGTATAGTCTAAGGGACTAAATTTAACATAAAAATAATCCCGACGCGGTATAACGCGGTATAACATACCTAATATATTCTATCCTTCTATAAATATGTTTGTAACATATTACACCGCGTTATACTGTGTCGGGATTATTTTAACATTAAATCTAGTTCCTTAGGTTGTACAGAAAACGCAAAATTTCTTACGCATATTTGCGAATTCAATTAATATAAATGATTAATGCATAATTTGTGTATTAATTATTTATATTAATTGAATTCGCAGATATGTGCAAAAAATTTTGCGTTTTCTGTACAGTCTAAGGGACTAGATTTAACGTAAAAATAAGATCGGAAGAGCACACGTCTGAACTCCAGTCACT